AGGAGGAGGAGGAGGAGGAGCGTGCACCACCGGGGAGGACATGGGCTGCTCCTGGCCGTTCCCCCGATGGGCCCCTGCTGTGCAGCTCCGTTTTCGGTATCCTTCCACGCGCCACTCCGTTTTTTGGGTATTCTTCCATCGAGGGGGCGCCTGCCTCGCCCTCTCTCTCTTCCTCTCCCCTCCTGGATCCTCTCTTCCTCTCCCCTCTTGGATCCTCTCGCTCTCCTCCTCCTCTCCCCTCTTGGATCCTCTCCTCCTCTCCCCTCTTGGATCCTCTCCCTCTCCTCTTCCTCTCTCCTCTTGGATCCTCTCCCCTCTTGGATCCTCTCCTCTCCCTCTCTCCTCCCTCGCCCCTCCCGGATCCTCGTCTTCGCCGTGCCCGGTCGCCTCTCCCTCGATGGCCCGTGCGTCTGTCGTGTCACCGCGCGGCGGAGGGCGTGGCAGATTTGGGGCTGCGGAGCTGTAGGTGGCACCGCCATATCTTGTTGGTCACCACCCACCAAACCACCCCAACCCAACCCGAAGGCCTCAATTTGCCCTCCATTTGTAGTTGGGGGGGGGGGTCGGGGAACACTGACAAAAAAACACATGGAGCCCGTACCCCCCCAACCCGAAATTCGGGTCTTCGGGTTGGGTTGGGGTGGTCTGGTAGGTAGTCAGTTGGGGGGAACATGAAGCAGTTGTCGTGGATTTGCGACCTTGCGCTGAGGGAGCAGGCGCCCGATTGTTTTATAGCCTCGGCGTCTGCCCGCCCACGGCAGGCGACGCCTCTCTGAAAAACAGCAGTGTCGGCAGGGCTCCGATCTGCTGGCCTTCGCTTCGAGCTTGCGCGCTCCCAGAGCAGCCAACTTTTTGGCTGCCCGAACGGGTGCGCAGAAGTGGTTTGAAGGCAGCATGCCCTTGTTGGACCAGCTTCAGCAGCCCCCGTGCAGCTGCCGACCCAGGAGCGAAAGAGCAGCCTCCGATCCCCCTCCCAGCAAGCCCTGCCGTGCGGCGCCTGCGGCACGGGCGCTGCCAGACGAAGCCCGCTCCGCATGTCTTGCCTCGTCGGGTTCCTCTCGCGGAACTGGCCTGCAGACGGCCGGCAGGGTGCAAGCACCTCGGGGGTGGTTGACGAGGAGGAGCAGGAGCAGGAGGAGGAGCTCTGGAAACAGGATGGCGATGATGATGATGCTGCTGATAATGATGATGCTGATGAGGATGATGATGATGATGTTGATGATGATGACGATGCTGATGATGCTGATGACGATGCTGCTGTTGTTGTTGTTGTTGCTGTTGCTGCTGCTGCTGCTGTTGTTGTTGTTGTTGTTGTTGTTGAACATTATTTCTTCTTAAGAATAATTATTGTTGGGACCCCTGGTGCGCGCCCCCCCCGCCGCGCCTAGGCCGCAGCCACATTTTCATCATTTTCGTGAGGAAGCCTCAGGTAAAACGATGTGATCCAGATCCGGTTGTTTTGTTCCCCCCCGCTTTCCCTTGCAAAAAACAATATAAAATGACATTTCTTGTTCTAACATAACCAAACTTCAAGAATCCCTTGCAAAAAATAAGGTAAAGTGGACATTCGCGCGCGCAAGACGAAATCCTTCCAAAACCTTAGTTTTCGTAGCGATTTTAACATAAAAACATCAAAAAACCAATGGTTTTTCAAAAAAAAATTGTCGACATTTCATCCGCGCGCTCTTGCGGATTCGTAGGAAACCCAACACTTTTTAATCATTTCTGTCAAACGGGCTTTTGCGAGCAACTTTTTCGAACTTCTGCAACAACGGTTGCGCACCTGCCAGGGCCATCATCCCTGTCAAATAATACCATGCGGGACACATTCGTTTTTTCTTCGCGCGCGCACGCCGTCGTCGTCGGCCGCGGGGCCCTGAATAGTAGCCACGGTCGTCCGCATGCCACGAAGTGAAGTGTCCGAACGTCATAGGGCGGGAAGCTGGGTGTGGGTGGTGGCGAAGAGTCGTTTGGAAATTTGGTAGAGCTTGAACCGGCCCCCCCACAAAGTGGGGGTATTGCCCGCCTCCTATGAAAACCCTGGCACTGGTGAGAACGGAGTGTCCCCACGTGCTAGTAATTGTTGTTGTTGTTGTTGTTGTTGTTGTTGTTGTTGTTGTTGTTGTTGTTGTTTTTATTTTTGGTGGTAGTACTATTGATGATGATGCTGCTGCTGCCGATGATGATGATGCTGACGATGATGATGATGATGATGATGATGATGATGATGATGATGCTGATGATGATGATTATTATGTTGTTGATGATGATGAGGAGGATGAGGGTGAGGGTGAGGATGAGGATGAGGATGATGATGATGATGATGATGATGATGATGATGATGATGATGATGATGATGATGATGATGATGATGATGATGCTGATGATGATGATGATGATGATGATGGTGATGATGGTGGTGGTGGTGATGGTGATGTGGGGCGTGCCAGACTCTTTGGACTGTGACCGATGTAATGCAGCGGCTCGGCACCCTCGTATCTATAGCCGACGGCGAGGCTTTCGTGAGTACAAGATCATTCTGGGTATTGCAGCGGCCGGCAACACTTTTCCCGCCTCCGGCGATGCGGATCACAGTTGGGTCTGGCACGGCCAGCAACACACACCAAGAAAACATATCGAGAACATATTTGAGATGATGGTCGGGTGGTCGGTGTAAGTCGAGCCTCAGTTGTATCAGCGGCAGTCTCATCAAGTGGCTGAGAATCCAGGCGTTCCAAATGTGACTGGATTAGACGGGGCTGTACTAGATGCGGCGCGATTCGGAGACAGATTTTGTCACCCAACGTCACGGATGTATCGCCGATGTATTGAGGATATGGTGCGACCCCGTCCTGGCCCCATTTGGGCGGTCTTCAGAGAACGGACTTCAATAGAGGAGCTGATTTCTTTGCCAGCCACAGCATGGACGTCCAGGTGGACTTCGAGTACGTTATATAGCACAGGGTTTCTCCAATCTCAGCCAGCGTTGACTCCAAAGAGATTGGACGACTCAAATCAAGGAATCAGAGGAATCGAGCATGCTTGGAATCCGCAACTCAGCAAGCAAGCAAGCGTGCAAGCGCGCAAGCAAGCAAGCAAGCAAGCAAGCAAGCAAGCAAGCAAGCAAGCAAGCAAGCATGCAAGCGCGCAAACAAGCAAGCAAGCAAGCAATCAAGCAAGCATACATAAGGGGGGGTGTCATTGGAGAAAAGGGGGGGATAGGCATAGGCATAGACATAGCCATAGGAATTTGTGGGGGGCATAGGAATTAGGAGCGGGGGGGGGGGGGGCAACGGACCAATTAGTAGGCTCTGAGCTAGGACTCCTATAGGGCAAGCCCATTTGGAGACAAATATAAGCCAGCGTTGATTCCAAATAAATTAGACGACTCAAATCAAGGAGTCAGAGGAATCGAGCATGCTTGGAATCCGCAACTCAGCAAGCAAGCAAGCGTGCAAGCAAGCGTGCAAGCAAGCAATCAAGCAAGCAAGCAAGCGTGCAAGCGCAAGCAAGCAAGCAAGCAAGCAAGGAAGCAAGCGCGCAAGCGCGCAAGCAAGCAAGGAAGCAAGCGCGCAAGTGCGCACGCAAGCAAGCATACATAAGGGGGGGAGCCATTGGAGAAAGGGGGGGGGGTAGGCATAAGCATCGGCATAGCCATAGGAATTAGGGGGGGGGCAACGGACCAATGAGTAGGGTTTGAGCTCGGACTCTTATAGGGCAAGCCTAATTGGAAAACGTTGGAGTGCCATAATTGATACCTGGTGTTGCAGCGACTGACGATAAGGTCCCGATCACGCCACCTGGAGCGTGTGCCGTGTGCGCGTGTGTGAGAGCGTGCGAGTGCGGCGTGACCGCCTGGGTGGATACGGACCAGGCCGCTGATGTCAGGTATTTGTGTGTGTGTGTGTGTGCGTGTGTGTGTGTGGATCTCGAAAGCTGTGCGTAGCCCGCCTAGCTTTTAGCGGAAGAGGTTCGCTCTCGCCCCGCAGATCAAACAAGTATGTGTGGATTTGTTTGTGTGGATCTGTGTGTGTGTGTGGATTTGTGTGTGTGTGTGTGTGTGTGTGGATCTGTGTGTGTGTGTGTGTGTGTGGATCTGTGTGTGTGTGTGTGCGTGTATGTGTGGATCTGTGTGTGTGTGTGTGGATCTGTGTGTGGGTGTGTCCGTGCGTGTCCGGCTGCCTGCGTCTCCGCCGCGGCTTCCTCTCCCCCGCCGGGCCCACCTCGCGCCGTGGCGGCTCTCTCTCCCGCGCGGTCGCTGCCCCCGGGGCTCCGCGTGCCGCTCCCGTGCCCGCGCGCGCTCGTCGCCGCCCTCGCCCCCGCACCGCGGCGGCCCGTTCCTTGGGAGGGTCTGTGTGGCCGTGTCCGTCCTGTCCAAGGTGTACCTTTTCCTGCACGTCCACTTCGGCACCGCCTGATCCCTGGGCTTCGCCCGCTCCTGGCCGCGTGAGGCCCCGCCTTCTTCCGCTCTTTCTCTGCTAATGAAAGCTGTGCGCGTCCCGCTTTCAGCGGAAGAGGTTCGCTCTCGCCCTGCAGATCCCCCCCCCCAAAACTGTGTGGCCGTGTCCACTCGGCCACGCGCCGAGGGGGGGGGGCAGGGGGGAGGGGGGAAGGCTTCCTGGAAGCACCCCCGCTTCTCCGAAGGCGCGGGCCTCGTCTGCAGATGCAAGGCCGGCGCCTTCCAAAGAAGCGGCCTCCCTCCAACAAGCCCTCCCCCCTCCCCCTAGCCACCCTGTGCGCGCCGCCAAACATGGGCTCCAGGCTGGGTTTTGGATCCGCCCAGCGGCAGTGGCCGTCCCTCCGCCCCACCGAAGCAGCGCGCCCCGGGCTCCGACTCATGCCCCGCGCCCTCGCCGCGGCCCTGCTCGCGGCCGCGCTGCGCACGGGTGCCGCCCGCCTGGGGGCCGCCCCCGCCGCGGCCATGATCCAGCTGGAGAGGCAGGGCGCGAACGCCTCGTCGGTGGACGCGCTGCTGCGGCACTTCGGGGCGGTGAGCCCCCTCTTCTCCAAGGACAGCTGCACGCAGATGTTCGACACGAAGAGGAGGCTGGGCGGGGCCGCGACGCCTTCGGACTTCGTCCCCGGCTGCACCGAGGTCTGCAATCTGGTCGGCAAGATCAAGGATTACTGGCAGACGGGGAGCATGGCCGAGTTCGCGTGCGGCCACATCAGGGACTACGGGTGCATCTGGGACGCGGCGGGGCAGACTCGCCCGAAGACCGGGGCGGACGCTGGCTGCTGAGAGCGCCGAGGGCACGCAGCGCATGCCGAGTGCTTCGAGGCTTCTCGTCAAAAGGGCGGGGCTTCTGCTTCAGAGCACTCCGGTTGGCGTCCGGCCCTCCTCTAGGGGAACGAAGAGTGACATACGCACACAAACTCGGAGGTCTGCGCGGCTTTCTCGGATCGGGGCTGGACCCCCCCCCTCCGGCGCCGCCCCTGGCGCGCTCCGCGCGCCAGGGAGGGAGGTCCGGCGCCGATCCGAGAAGTCCGCGCGGACCTCCGAGTTTTTTATGTTTGTGTCTCGGAGGTTGTAAGACCTCCTACCCTGACACGTCGATTAGTGAATTGGCCGTTTTCGGTTCGCGAGAGTGCGCCGCGGCCGTCATTTTTGCGGGCCCAGGTCCGTCGGTTTCGGTCCCAGGCCGTTTTCACTAAAGGGAGGTTTACTAAAGGGAGGTTTGTCCACCGCCGAATGTCATCCCTCGTTCCCCTGTCCTTCCTCGTTCCTCGTCTTTCTCGTCCTCCTCGTCTTCCTCGTCCTCCTTCCTCGTTCCTCGTTTCCCTGTCCTCGTTTCCCTGTCCTCGTTTCCCTGTCCTTCCTCGTTCCTCGTTATGTTTATGTCGTTCCTCGTTTCCCTGTCCTCGTCTTCCTCGTCCTCCTCCTCCTCGCCTTCTGAAGGATGCTGGACTGGCCTGCCGCCACCCGCCGCTGCCCGCCACCGCCCGGCAGGCATCAGGAAGAACCGCAGTCATCACAGCGGTGTGCTCATTTCGATGTCTGTTCATGGGAGCCTTGGGCGGCGACATTGAGATCAGCTTTTCCTGCATGTGGACAGCGTGGGGGCCACATCTGGCCCATCCTCCTGCTCCTCCTCTCCCCTCCTGTTCCCCCTCCCCCTCCTCGTTCTCCTAGCCCCCACGAATCCAGTCCAAGTCTGGTCAAAATCCGGTCCAAATTTGTTCCAAATCCGGTCCAAATCAGGCACAAATTGGACAGTGCTGGGTGCCACGCAGGCTCCCATGGAACAGACACCAAAACTCATGTACCCATCGATCGTTGAAAAAGTAGATATCTTTGGATTTTTCCATGTTCCAACCTACTTCTCAGCGCCTTCCCACTCCAAGAGTCGGGTGGTTTTCCCTCTTCCCGCCTCTTCAGGAGGCGGGCAGAAGCCCAACCTACTTCCAACGCCTTCCCACTTCACGGTTCTACCTACTTCTTCCGACCGATGGGTATCGTGAAACTGAGCCTCTGAGATCCCCGCCGCCGCCGCCGCCGCAGCCCAAGGATACGACCCACCACGCCATCTCATGTGGGTTTGAGGGCGCTGCTGGGGTCTCAGAGCGGGCACCGAGGGCGGAAGAGTTGTTGCGCGTTTTCGCGAAAGGGGGCCGTCGATGTCGACATGTGTACCTCTCTGGTCTCGATGCTTGTCGTTATCATTCAGATGTCGAATAAGAAACACTCCATAAACATAATTTTTGGCGTTCCGCGCAGATTTCTTGGATCGGCGCCTGGGCGCCCCTGGTGGCGCCTCTGGCGCCACCCCTGGCGCGCTCCGCGCGCCAGCGAGGGGAGTCCAGAGCAGATCCAAGAAATCCATGTAGAGCGCCAAGAGTTTATGTTCATGGCGTTTTTTCTTATTCTAAAGATGGCCATGACGATGAGTAGGAGGGGGAGACGGACGGGGCAGAACGGGCAAGACGGAGGAGGGAGGTGAGGGAGCAGTGGTGCGACACCGTCGTTGCTCGGCTGACCGCGCCTGCGCCGAAGCAAGCAGGGCCCCGCCCCACTCCGTGCGAGCCTGCTGAAGTTTGGGTTCCAGGTGGTCAAGACTCGCTAGACACGTGTACCACGACTGATCTACGGTGGTACACTCAGCCTCATCACACTGAGAACAATCAGATCGACCCCCCACGCCACGAACATTCCACGCAGGCGTCCCCTAGACATTCCCCAAGCAGTGCTTGCATGTTTGCCGGCCTGGACCCTAAGCAGCAAGTCATTGCATTGTGGATGTGCGAGCTATTAGGGGCAAGTCATGTGGTGTAAGCCACGTGGTGCAATCCGTTTGGGGCAAGCTATGTGGTGCAAGCTATGCAGCGCAAGTTGTGTGGTGCAGCGTGTCTGGTATGAGCGATGCGGCGTGGTGTAACATGTGTTGTACGATCTATATGGTGCGGCATGTGCCGCAGCCTGTGCTGCGAACGCTGCGTGGTGTAAGCTAGGCGGGCAGGCTATGTGGTGCAAGCTATGTGGTGTAAGGTATGCGGTGCAGCGTGTGCGGTGCAGGCTATGCGGCCGCCCAGCGCACGAGGCGCCCGCGGCAGCCACGGGCGGCCACGGGCGTCGCGAAGCGTCCACGGGCGGCAACGGGTTGCAGTGTGGTAAGTCCTCTCGGCACACTCGTCCAGGACACGTTGCGCCCACGAAGCGTCCGCGGGCGGCAAGAGGCGGCCACGTGGCGAAACCTCGGCACACCTGCCTCGTTCTTGTAAACCTAAGCAAGATCCCCTGAGCGCAAGCACTGTTTGGGCAATCGCGGCTCTCTGACACGGCTTGCAAGCACTTGGATGGGTCTGACCTGTTTTTGCCCATTGCCCGCGCCCGTGGCAGCCTCGCGCCCGCACCAGATAGCTTGAACTACATCGGTTGCACTGTGTAGTGTCCCCTGCGCATGCGAAAGAAGCGGCGTCCCTACCGAGGTCGGCCTTATCCGCCACCCTCCGCGCATTTTTGTTTATCTGCTGCGCACGACCGTTCATTCTGAGCATAGAGTTGTGCCGTACAAGTCACCGCGTGAAGCAGTGCCATGCAGTGCACACGCGTTGATCTGACCAGCGTGCTGTGTCAGAAATCCTATCAGATGCCACCATGCGGGCCGCATGTGCGCGGACATTTCAAAATCCTTCAAAACCCATCGGCTTTATTCCATAGTAGGTATATCGAACACCGTTGAGGTTTTCATTGCAATATGGAAGGTTTCTGTGTTCGCGCACTCGCTGAAATCATGCCAAACAAGTGTTTGCGGTTCGATATGAACAGAATGTGCGCCGTACGAGCCCGCATGTGGAAATTATCCAACAATCGTCGCGCATCCGCCAATTCTGTCACATGACATCATGCCGGCCACACGCGCGTCTCCGCGCGGGCACGACGAGGTTCTTCCAAGCTACACATTGGTTTTCTCAGCCTTCCACTGCACGGTCTGCCAGAACTTTTGAGTTCCTGCGTACGCTCGCACTTCTTCACCGTTCTCATCAGCATCAGCGTCGTCATCATCGCCAGCGTCGTCATCATCACCATCATCTCCTCACCATCACCGTCGTCGTCATCGTCGTCGTTGTCGTCATCACCCCCATTGTCGTCATCAACATCTTCGTCGTCATCGTCAGAATCGTTGTCGTCGCCTTCTTCATCAACGCCACCACCATCATCATCACTACCATCACCATCACCATCACCATCATCATCATCATCATCATCATCATCATCATCATCATCATCATCATCATCATCATCATCATCATCATCTTCATCATCTTCATCATCAGCAGCAGCATCATCATCATCACCATCACCAGCGGCATCATCATCAGCGCCAGCACAAGCACCACCACCACCGCCATCATCATCATCATCATCATCATCAACATCATCATTATCATCATTATCATCATCATTATCATCATCATCACCGCCATCAGCATCAGCATCATCATCATCATCATCATCATCATCATCATCATCGTCGCCATCGTCATCGTCTTCGTCGCCGTCGTCCTCATCACCATCACCATCACCACCACCACCACCACCAGTGTCAGCATCACCATCATCATCGTCGGCGTCGTCATCATCATCATCATCATCATGTCAGGTTCGTCTTGAGGCGGTCCTGGTGGCCATCGAACAAGATGGGGTCCTCGACTCTCCCCCCCAGGGAGCCCGAGGGTGACCTCTTGGGGCCCTCTGGGGACTCTCTTTGATGCTCTTGGTGGCGTGTGGGGCCCTCCGGGCTCTTTTTGGGCTCTCTTGGGCAACCTTGGGGCATCTCGAGGCTTCAGAGGCCCGGAAACGAGAAGGCGAGAAGATACGATTCATTGATCACATGTCGATCTCGGTGGTGTCGGCTTCGGGAGGCCGAGCGGCTCCATGACCACCTCGAGCCATCTTGCGCCGTCTTGGGTGTCTTGGTGGCTCTCAGAGCCATGCTGGATGCCATCTTACGCGATCTCTGAGGCCACCTTAGGCTATCTGGGGCCATCTCGGAGCCGTCGTGGACTTTCTGGCCCCTCGCGGCACCCCATCGCCGAACAGTTCTGTTGTGCATTTTCGTCGTAAGCGAATGATGTTGGTGTTTTCGTATTTCAGGCTTCCGATGTGCCTCTGAGGCTTGAAGATGACGTCTTCAGGCTTCCGAAGGGCCCAGAAAAGCCCCAAGAGGGCCCCAAGAGGCCCCCCCCAAACTTTCAAGTCCGATGCCTGCCCCATCGGAGATCTCACACAGGCCCCAATACTGCCCCAGGCTGGCTCAAGCTGGGTGGCTCAAGCTGGCCAGCAGTCGCTTTGGGCCAACCATGCCTCCGAAGGAGGGGGCAGGACCTGGGGCCGCCGCGGTGCCTCCGGGGACGGCATGCGTCGTGTGGCCAGCGGGCGATGCCGCGAGTGTCGGGTGCTTGCGTGAGCGCGCAGAGATCGTGTCCACCGACACCTACGCTTGGCTGCATCTTGGAAACGTGCACGACACGAATGGGAGGCACGAGGACGCGCTGGCTGCCTACAAGCGAGGCATCGATGCCAACCCTCAAGAATACCGGAATTACGTCAGCGCTTGTAGGATGTTGCGCAAACTGGGCAGAGTCGAAGAAGCGTTCCAACTTGCGGAACATGCTGTTCGTGAGAAGGTTTTGCATGACCCTTGGCAGATTTCATCTCACTTTGTCTACGGCTTGGAAGCGAAGGCATGGTGGGATGTCAGCAGTTGGCGAGTCGGGAGGGTTCTTGAGGGTAGCTTCGATAAGATCCGCGATGAGGCGATGCCTTTACTTCAAAATGGCAAGCTTGTGTCTTCGAGTATCCCAGACACTGAGGACCTCGTCAGGACAGGAAAGTGGACGGAGTTGAACTTGATACATGAGGCTGTGACGCAGACTCCGAGTCAAAGGATATGCCCCAACATTACAGAGCTGCTTGAGGTCGCGATCCCAGAGGCTGCTTCAATGGTTCGAGGCGCCTGTAAACTCTCGGTGTTGCAGCCAGGGACCAAAGTACGGCCTCATCATGGTCCCACCAATACGCGAATGCGTGTCCACCTTGGCATCCATATTCCAGAAGGCGCGTTTATTCGGGCGGGTAACCCCGCGGAAGAGGGCAATATAAGACAATGGAAGGTGGGGAAGTGCATTTGTTTCGACGACTCGTACGAGCATGAAGTATGGCACGATGGAGATGAGGAGCGGCTCGTCCTAATCGTTGATGTTTGGCATCCTGCAATGACCCATCAGGATCGTCTGGCATCTTGTAAGGACGATTTGCAGCGCCAGCGCTATCTAGCACGTTTCGAGATGGGCAAGGCATCTGTTGGCTGGTCATGAGTGAGCCCGCACAATGTATGCGCTTTGCGCCAGGCGCCTCACCGAGGCGCCCTTGAACCTCGCCGAGGTGCCCCTGAACTCACAGGGGAATCGCCAGCGTATGGCCCAGATAAAGTTTGAGACTTTTAGCGTGTCAGCGATGTACATGGCCATCCATGCGGTGCTCTTGCTGTACGTCTCTGGCCGCGCCATCGGCCTCATCATGGACTCTGGCGACGGTGTGTCGCACACGGTGCTCATCTACGAGCGCTATGCCTTGTCGCACGCCGTCCTGCGCTTCGAATTGGCCTACCCTTTCGCGACCAGAGCGGAGCGCGAGATCGTTGGCGACGTTAAAGATGATGTCATCGTCATCGTCATCGTCAGCGCCAGCGTCAGCGTCAGTGTCAGTATTCATACTGTCAGCGAGCAGGGTACGTATGAGTGAGTCACATTCCCAAGGGCACCCTTGCCTCCTTGCCTCTTTGGACCATCCCTGGCCCATTCTCATCCTCAAGAGCATTAAACTCGGGCGTCCAAGGAGCTTGCACCATTACCGCGCGTCCTTCTCCTATCTTGAGATCCGACGTCGCAAAAAGACGGCGTCGCGACAAATCACGACTGGAGCCTTAGGCCCCATCCTTCCGCGGCTCTTTTCGAGCCGGATCGATCTGTGCTGGTCCTGGGGCCCCAGGCCGGGCGGAAATACCCTGCGTGGAAGAGCTGCATCGCCCAGATCTCGGAGCAGTATGCGCGCGGACTGCAGCTGCCCGGCTCTTATCAAAGCTGGAGGGCTGAATCATTCAGGAGGAGAAAAAACACAGACACAATTAATCGCCGATTCTCAGGAAAATATGCAAAAATATGGTACGTGGGGGGGGGAAGACAAAAAACCCCAAAAGATAGGAAAATATGGGGTACATTTTTATTTGTGTGTATTTATTTGTGTGTCCTGGGGCCCCTTCAATTTTGGGGGATGCCCGCAGATCCCCTTCTGCCTCCTCCGTTTCCTTTCCCCCCAAAGCCCGCGTCTAGGGCCGTTGCAGGTCTTTACCCTCACTGCCTCACCTCGCGCACATCATTTCGCGGCCACGTCGACCACACTCGCTGGACCCCGTGACTGGTCATCGATTTGAGTCCTCTATAGCCATCGGTCCGCTGAGTGGAACCAAGAAGTCGGAGGCCTCTAGATTGACACCAACACTACAATCGGCGGTGGTGCCTCCACCGAGGGAAGTTGCTCCCGATCTCGGCGATGTTGGTCATGTTCGGGCTTCCCAGATGGCCGCAAACGTACCACCGACACTGAAATCTAGGTCCACCTCCCCCCCACTGGAGGCAGCCCCCTTTGCTGGTGCTGGTGCTCAGTGAGGAGGACGAGGAGCGGGCGGAGAAGGAGGAAGAGGAGGACGGGGAGGGGGAGGAGGAGGAGAAGGAGGAGGAGGATGAGGAGGAGGGAGGAGGGAGGAGGAGGAAGATGAGGGGGAGGGAGGAGGATGATGATGAGGATGAGGATGAGGATGAGGATGAGGATGAGGATGAGGATGAGGATGATGATGATGATGAGGAGGAGGAGGAGGACCAAGCCTAAAGAGCAGACTGGAGAAGGCTTGGAACTGCCTGGAGGGTCGCGGGCCTTCGAGGCGCGGCGGCCCGCGCGCGCCCAGGGCTCCACGACGCTGGCGCGCCTGGGGCCCTGCCGCAGGCAGCCGGGTGAGCCCGCGCTGGTGAGCCTGCCGGCGCTGTCGACGCCGACCCTGAGCGTGGTGGGGCCCCTCCCTGTCCTCGCGTGTAGGGGGCCACATGCGAACCCTACCCCTACCCCCCACGATTTCTGAGGGGCAGGGTGGGGTTCACTCCGTTCGGGAGCTCCCGAGCGAAGTGAACCCCACCCTCCCCCTCAGGAATCGTGGGAGGTGGGGGTAGGTTCGCATGTGGCCCCCTAGTGCGGTGGTCTTTCAGGGGAGCCCCAGAGGGTCCCAAGGGCCCTTGCTGTCGACGCCGACCTTGAGAGTGGTGGGGTCTCTCCTGTCCTCGTGTCGGGTGTTGCTAGAAGTACCCCTGGCCCAAGGTACCCCCAGGATTCTCGGGGTGGCCCAGACGGCCTCCAGGGCAACCCTCACGAGGCCCAGAGGGCCCCAGGGGCTCAAAAATGGAGCGAAAAGCTGGGGGCACCTTGGGCCAGGGGCACTTTAGCAACACCCGATCGTGTGGTGGTCTTTCAAGGGAGCCCCAGAGGGTCCCAGGAGCCCCTGCGGTTTTTGTCGGGGGGGTTTCGTCCAGATTTTTCGTCGGATTTGGTCGACGCTGGGACGAAGCCCGGACGACATCTGGACGAAGTCTGGACGAGAGGGTGAAGAGGGGTGGTCGAAATGAATCACGTTTATGATAGGGCCGCGGAGGTCCATAGAAGCTCCCATGAAGGCTCACCCAGCCTTCCGCGCGCTGGCTATCAGTGGAGGAAAGGGTACCGATACCGCTACCCTTGCCTCGTTTTCGCTTTCTTTGGGTCTCCTGGGAGGCCCTCGTCGCCACGGCTGGATTCGGCTCGAAATTCTGGTCAGGGCGCACTGGGAGAGGTTCAGGGGGTAGTGGTATCAGTATCTCTTGGTTCGCCGAAATGCTCTTCCAGTAGGTTCGCGCCATGTCGAAGCGGCGGCGATCCCAGTGCTGGTGTTCAAGGTTGGACGCCGCCAGTGGCCCAGAATCGGCCGATATCGATCCACGCGGTGTCAGAGACCAACGCGCAAGTTGTCATTGCACGAGTCTGCCGTACCGCTCTCGTCCTCGTCCTCATCACTCCGTCTCGTCCTTCCGTTCCCACTTGCCATCGCATCAAGTGATCGCTCACGCGGATTCTGAATGTAGACAGATGCCCAGACAAACGTCATTGATTACCGAGCCCATGCTATTTCATGTGATTGTTTGACGGGTTGCTCGACACATGTTAGTGCCCATGATGAGTATTTGAGGCAGGCCGATGACCAGAGTCAACTAAACATGTGCAAACGGTGCTGCTATACACCCTCCCGTCCCTGTCCCTTCCTCATACGCCCCTACAGACTTCTTTCTCGTTGCAAGAAGCGCCACCCCTTGGAAGACCAGTGCAGCTGGGCCTGCTCTTGTGGCCAGGGCCCCGCTCTGAGCAGGAGTTGCCTTGCATCTCGCCGGCGCGGAGCAGGGAACGCGAAAGACGGTTGTCCTGCAGTTCGGCGCGGTGTCCAGCGAACTCCCCCTTTTGAGAAAGAGCCGCTCCCCATCCGTGCAATTGTTGCACAATATTACTCGGGGATGGACAGACCCCCTACCCTGACACGTCGATTAGCGAATTGGCCGTTTTCGGTTCGCGAGAGGGCGTCGCGGCCGTCATTTTTGCGGGTCCAGGTCCGTCGGTTTCGGTCCCAGGCCGTTTTCACTAAGGGGAGGTTTACTAAAGGGAGGTTTGTCCACCGCCGAATTACACTTGTGGTCATTAAGCTGGAGGAGGTCTCAAAGGGACAGCTCCATTTTGCAGGTTTCGGGTCTTCACGCTTGACGAAGGACGTCCCGGCCCGGAGTTCCATTTACAAGACAAGTGGTCGTCCATCCAGCTAGGCGTTGCGAGAAAAACAGACGCGCGCGGCGCCGCGCGGCGCCAGGGCCAGAACAATATTTTGAAAACGATCCCCCGCCATGCTTGGAAAGGATACAACCTTGTAAGGCGAATGTGCGTGGCGCTGATCCGAGAAACACATTTCGAACACGACCCCCGTCTCCATCCTTCAAACTGTTGCAGATTTCAAGCTTCAGGACCATACATGGTGAGGAAGTCTCAGGCGAAACGCCCTGCCCGCCCTATCAACTCGTCTGGGGTGCAACAGTGAGGAGTTATTATAAGGACAGGGATGGATGATGAGAAGGAGGAGGATGAGGAGAAGGAGAAGGAGGAAGACAATCAGAAGGATGAAGAGGAGGAGAAGAAGGACGATGACGAGGACGAGGACGAATCTGAAGAAGCTGATGATGATGCTGCTGCTGATGATGATGCTGATGCTGATGATGCTGCTGCTGATGATGATGATGACGGATGATGATATTGCTGCTGATGATGGATGGTGATGATGATGACGGATGATTATGCTGCTGCTGCAGATGATGATGCTGCTGCTGATGATGATGATGATGATGATGATGATGGATGGTGATGATGGTGCTGATGATGGATGGTGATGATGATGTTGATGATGATGCTGATGATGATGCTGATGCTGATGATGATGCTGAACATGCTGATGATGATGCTGCTGTTGCTTCTGATGCTGATGCTGATGCTGATGATGATGATGCTTCTGCTTCTGCTGATGTTGATGCTGATGCTGCTGCTGCTGATGATGATCATGATGATGATGATGATGATGATGATGATGATGATGATGAGGAGGAGGAGGAGGAGGAGGAGGAGGAGGAGTAGGAGGAGGAGGAGGAAGAGGAGGACGTCTGGGGGCTGGGCGCTTCGGACCACCTCCTGCGCCATGCTTCTAGGAGGCGGACAGGGCCCTCTCGCGCGGGGACCCTGTGCTGGCCAGCGGTGCTGGCCAGATGTCGGCCTCGGGGGGGCCAACGCTTCGAAGCTTTTGGCCGTCCTTCGCCCTTTCGCGGCCTCCCTCGTTGCCACGGCGTGGATTCCCGTTGAAATCCTGCTTCACTCCAGGATGGGTCCCCGGGTCCACTGGACCCTCCGAGCCTGGGGTCAGTTTCGATCCGAGCGATGCGACTCGATGCTGTCGGTTGCGGCCAGCCCGGTCCGATTCGGCCCCAGCTCTCCGACGCTCCCCGACGCGGCCTGGTGCTTGCACGGCGCTGCTGTGCACCCTGGAGCAGCTGAGCTGCGTGTAGCGTCCTGATTTGCTCGCTTTCAGCTTCGGTGGTTCTAGGCCTCCTAGATTCCGTATCGTTTCACCGACCCCCATCCCCATCCTCATCTCATTCGAGACCCCCACCAAATTACCACCACAATGGGGGATACGCCCCTCGAAACCTGAAGGGAACAGCCTATATCCCCATCTAGGGGGGTAAATCGGCCAGTGTGGCCCAGGCCACGCTGCTGGGGATGGGGGTCGGATAAACGATGCTCATAGATGGGGTCGGAGTAGACGGAGTCGGAGGATCGCGCCGCATCGCCGATGCATCGGCGAATCATCGGCGATGCGGCTCGATGTGGGGCCGAATGTCCTCCACGCCGACGTCGCGGATGCACCGTCGACGTCGCCGGTGCATCGCTGGTGCATCGCCGATGCATCGCCGATGCATCGCCGATGCATCGCCGATGCATCGCCGATGCATCGCCGATGCGGCGCGATCCTCCGACCCCATCCGCTCCGACCCCACGCAGGAGGCCTTCTTTGATGGTGCCTCGCTGACCTGTCGCCGGCTCGCAGGGGGCTGCCGCCTCGAGATGTCCACACTTGACGTGTGAGCTTTCTTTTTTCAGGAGGGGAAAAATCACACAGACACAATTATTAATCGTCGTCTCCCAGGAAAATATGGGAAAATATGGGAGGTGGGGGGAAGACAGAAACCCAGAAAATACAGGAAGATATGGGGAATCTTTTTATTTGGGTGTATTTATTTGTCTGTCCTGGGGCCCCTTCATCCTCGTCCTCGTCCCGGGCGTTCGAGCTTGCGTGGCTCTTCACGGAGCTTTGCAGAGCAGCGCCAGGCGTGCTGCGTCTGCTCACGGCTCCGAGGGTCGGGGCAGCAGCTTTGAGGTATGTCTTTGGGTGCGCCATCCTTGGGAGGCCTAGAAATTGGCACCAACACCAACACAGGGGGTTGCCTCCACAGGGGGAAGATGATCCTCGATTTCGGTGTTGGTGGCAATACTTCGGCCACCCCGGAGGCCAGAGTATTGCCACCATCACCGAGGTCGGGATCGGATTCCCTCAGTGGAGGCACACCGCCGATCTTGGTGTTGGTGACAACCTCTAGGCCTGCGAATCCTATCCGCGCTTCCAGGCCGCACCTCGACTGCGAGGCAGCAGGCGTATCTTGCCACAGGTTTCTGCACAAGCCAAGGTTTCACGTGCTGGCTCGCCTAATGCAGGTTGTCCCTCGCGTGACTTTGGGTTTGCATGGTGCATCTTGCCAGCATGTCGTCACCCAAGGTTCGTGTTCGTTGCGATGGATGGGGAAACAATTCCTGGCGCAGCTGGTCCGATTCGATTTCGACTCCGTGCCGATGCAGCCCGATCCGACGCGATCCGATTTCCCGATTCGATACTTATTGATCCTGCTCTCCTTCGTGCAAGGGCGCAGCTCGCTTGCGCCGTGTCCCGAGCCAGCTTCGCGTCGGACCGTGTCCTGTGCCTCTCCAAGAATGCGCATTCCTCTCCCGGTGCCGGTACTTGGAGGGCGAGAAAGAGATTGAGGTGGAGATGGAGATGTAGACAGGTGGAGGAGGAGGAGGAGGAGGAGGAGGAGGCGGAGGAGCAGGAGCAGGAGCAGGAGCTGGAGGAGGATCAAGAGGGGGGAGGAGGATGATGGATGAGGACGAAAGTAAGTCTGAGGAGGGGGAGGGGGGGCCGCGATCGGCACCCGAGCTTCCGCTCCTCCGCTCCTGGGGGGGTGCTCAGCAGCCGCCGGCGACGGGCGAGAGCGCGCCGTCGGGGCAGGTGGACACTGGTGCGCTGATGGTGCGGTGGGCGCAGATCGGCTTCGCCGCCGGCTACCTCGGCCCGCACGAGACGACGACGATGACCTTCAGGAGGATGTTCCGCAGAAGGTATCTATAGGGTCAAGGCGGTTGAAGAAAGGAGTCCTTCCTCGGTTGTTCTAGTGATCGTTTTCTTTTTCATTGTTTTGCCGATCGGCGCGGGCACTCGCACCCCCCCCCCTCCCCCCGCACCATGGATTAGATTTTGGTTGTTTTTGGAGTAGATCGAGCAGGTGGAGCCTCCCCCATGGGACGCGCTGGTGCAAACAGCCGCATTGAGCAGAGGTCCAGAGCCAGACCCTCCCCCCTCCCCCCCTTCCGCCCAATGTCGAAACGCCGAATAAATACACGATCACCTGGCGCTCCTCGGGCACCCAGGCATTTTTGTTGCCAAGAAGGGGCTCTGCTCCTGTTTTCTTCGGATTCCCGCTGCTAGTAGCTCGACTGTGCTCCACTCCCGGTGCCCGCATGGTGGTGTTGCGTAGATGCCTTCTGCATGGGTGAGGGGTGTAGCCTGGCGAAAGACCAGAAAGCTCGAAGGAGTCGAAGGTACCGATGCCGCTGCCCCCCTCTCCTCTCCTCGTTTTTGCCCTTCTGGGCCTCCTAAGTGCCCTCGTCGCCACGGCCGGATCCGCCTCGGAATTCTGGTCAGAATGCATCCTGCGAGAGGTCAGGGGCGTGCAGCCAACACGTATGGTAAGGGCGCGCGATGAGGATGCGAGGGCTTCGGAAGGCCATGTCGACACGTTGCGAGAGGGGCGCGGCCAACGAAGGTGGCCAAGGATGGACCGCGGAGGCAGGGATGCAAGGGTACCCTTGGGAAGGTTGCCCATCCTTACCATGCGGGTTTACTGTAGCGGTAACAGTATTCGTTATCTCATCCGGATTATCCCTTTGCAAGTCTCGGCCCAGTGTTTCTTGAGCAGCTTGAAGGCTGGCTCAACGTCTTAACCCCCGACCAGGTCTTTGTTGAGTCAGTGGAAGGCCTGCCTAGCTAGATTATCGGCCCTTTGATCGAAACGCCCTCCTTAGGAGGTGGGGGAAAAGGGTACGGGGATGAGGAATGCGGAGGATGAGGTGAATGAGGATCTGAATGGAGTAAGAACAGGTGGAACACAAGGGGAGGAAAAGAGGATGAGGATGAGGATGAGGATGAGGATGAGAATGACGATGCTGATGAGGATAATGATGATGATGATGATGATGATGATGATGATGATGATGATGATGATGATGATGATGATGATGGTGGTGGTGATGATGCTGATGCATGTGCGGCTTCTGCTGATGATGATTATTATGATGATGCTGATTCTGATGATGATGCTGATGATGCTGATGATGCTGATGATGATGCTGATGAGGAGGAGGACGACGACGAGGAAGAGGAGGAGCAGGAGGAGGAGGAGGAGGATCATGACCAGGAACACATCGAGGGACGGAGTTGGAGGAGTATGTTGGTATTGAAGACGAGGATGATGAGGAGCAGAAGGAGGCGGAGACGGATACGGACTGAGGGCTCGGCACAGAGCGATACCGCGATACCTAGGAAAGGGAGGTATACGAACAGTGAATGGAGAGGGAGAAGAGGACACGGAGGATGAGGCGAAGGACGATGCGGACGATGAGGAGGACGATGATGACGAATACGAATAATAATAATAACAAACATATTTTTATTATTATTGTTATTATTATTGTTTTTATTTGTTTATGCATTCATTCATTTATTTATTATTATTTATTTATGTATTTATTTCTTTATTTGTTTATGTATGTATTTATTTATTTCCTTTTTATAGTTATTTATTTATTTATTCATTCATTCATTCATTTATTTATTATTTATTATCATTATTATGATTACTAATAATGGTACTAACAATAATGCTAATAATAATACTGGAGAGAAGAAGCGCGGGGGGATGCGGATACTAAGTAGGGGGAGGACCTGAGGAGGAGGATGAGGAGGAGGATAAGGATGAGGAGGAGAAGGAGGAGGAGGAGGAGAGCTTCTGGATGAGGGGAAGGCGTAGAAACAGGACTAGACGCAGGAGGCATATCATGCGCAGGAGCGGGAACACGTGCAGGAGTGTGCGCAGGAGCTGACGCAGTTTTGGGATGAGGATGAAACGAACAGGAGGAGTACGACGAGGATTATCATGAGGAGGGTGAGGACGAGGAGGAGGAGGAGGAGGGGAGGAGGAGGAGGAGGAGGAGGGGAGGAGGAGGAGGAGGAGGAGGAAGGAGGACGAAATGAGGACCAGGAGGAGGAGGAGGAGGAGGAGGAGGAGGCGGAGGAGGAGGATGAAAAAGCAACGGAGGAGGAGGAGATAGAAGATTAGGATTACGATTGGGACAAGGACCCGTCATGCGGAAGCGTTGGCCGCAGGGTGGGTCGGTGGGTGCGGGGGGGAGGGGGGGGGGGCGTCTGGGCGTGGCGGGGCATATGCTTCTTCGACGGGACAAGACAGGCTGATGGACTGCGTGCATGCCACGCCAAAACGCACCAATGTCTGTTGCGCAGTGACTTGCGTGCTCGCTTGTAAGGGCAGCGTCTCACGCCTGATGTGCCTTCTAGTCGAGCGGAGCAGGGCAGATGACGATGCTGGTGGTGATGATGGCGGTGATGATGATGCGGATGATGATGATGATGATGATGCTGATGATGATGATGACGACGATGATGAAGCTGATGCTGATGATGCTGATGCTTATGATGCTGATGATGATGCTGCTGCTGCTGATGATGATGCTGATGCTGCTGACGACGATGATGACGACGATGATGAGGATGGTGCTGCTGCAGCTGATGATGATGTTGACGAGGATGATGGTGCTGATACTGATGATGATGATAATGCTGATGCTGATGCTGCTGCTGATGGTGATGATGATGACTCGGAGGTGGATGGTGATGACGATGAAGATTATGATGCTGCTGATGGTGATGATTAAGAAGACGATGATGGTTCTGGTACTGATAGTGCTATGGTGATGATGCTTCTAATTCTGATGATGCGGCTGCTGACGATGATGGCCAATTATTATGATGATGGTGGCGGTGGTGGTGATGATGGTGATGATGATGCTGATGATGATGATGCTGATGATGATGATGCTGATGATGATGATGAGACGGCTGCTGCTGATGCTGCTAACGATGATGCTCAGGAGGAACATTGTCACAACCAGGGGTGGTACGATTACGGTATGTGGCGAGGATGATGGTGATGGTGATGGTGATGGTGATGGTGATGATGATGGTAGTGCTGCTGCTGCTGATGATGATGATGATGATGATGATGGTAATGATGATGATGATGCAGATGATGATGATGATGCTGCTGATCATGATGATGCTGTTTCTTATTAGTACTACTACTACTACTACTATTATTATTATTGTTCTTGTCACCATCAGTATGATTAGTGTGATGGTGATGCTGATAATGCTTCATCATTTCATTACCAACGTCATTGTTACCATGTTTATTGTAAGTGTTATGATGCTGATGATGATTCTGATGATGCTGATGCTGCTGCTGAATATGATGGGATGGTGCTTAGCTGCTGTTGATAATGATGATTCGCATGGTGATGATCATTGTGATGATGAAGACGATGATGATGATGATGATGATGATGATGATGATGATGATGATGATGATGATGATGATGATGATGATGATGATGATGATGATGATGATGATACTGATGATGCTGCTGCTGCTGATGATGATAATCATGAGGGCGGGAGGAGTAGTATGAATATGATCATGTTGATGAGGATGAGGAGGAGGATGAGAAGGAGAAGGAATGTCCACGAGGATGACGATGAGATGAATGAGGTTATGATGATGATACCGAAGAGGAGGGCGAGTGGAGGAGGGAGATCCATTTGGAGATGGACTTGGGGCTGTGGGAGCAGCCCTCCCGCCGCGGGATCCGCGGCCTGCCCCCCCCCCTCCAGTGGAGCTGCGGCCCGTCGGCGGGCCGGCGGGTGACGACTACCCATGGACGGGAAGGGGGGCGGGGCGCGCGCCGGTCGGCCACGCCAGGAGTGGCCCCTCTGCCAGACGGACCTTTGGTGCGAGACCGCTGGGGGCCCCCCGCGATCGCCAAACGCGATGGCGATGCGACGGCTTGGGTGTGCCACGAGCGCCGCCCACCCCCCCCCAAAGTCGCCGCGCACCGAGGGTCACCCTCGCCTGGGGTTCAGTCGGGCACGTCCCTCTACAGGAGGAGTATTCAAACACAAACATAGTTAAGACATAGTGTTGGGACGATCTGTCGACTATTTTTGGCCATTTTGGAGCATTTTTTGGGGGTATTTTTAATTTTTCCTCTAAGATCCCCCTGTGGGGGGACAGGCCCGAACTGAGCCCAGGGGCCACGCTTGATTGCAGCCGACGAGAGGGGGGGCGCGCCTGCAGGGGCTGGCGCCCCTCGACCTGCTCCTCCTCGCTTTCCTCCTGGCCTCCAGATGTTCGAGCGATTTTATGTTTTGTCTATCCTGGCGTTTTTCCGCAGTTTCGGCTTCGGGCCCCTGGACCATCGAAAATGGATCCGGGGCGAAAAACTGCACCAGGGAAGCTGTCGGGAGCTCTGGGGCCGTGGGTGGAAAGAGTCACATTCTTGGGCGTCTGGGTCGCTGGTCCCTCCCTCGCTCCCCTCCTGTTGTCGGGGCCTCCCAGACGGGGTCGGGGTAGATGGGGTCGGAGGATCGCGCCGCATCGGCGATGCATCGGCGATACATCGGCGATACGGCTGGATGTGGAAGCCGATGCATCGGCGATGCGGTGCAGCCCTCCGACCTCATCTGCTCGGGCCCCATCTGGGCGGCCTCCATCTTGTCCCTCCAGTTCCTGCCCTGCCCTTCCTCCTTGGGCCGCATGGGGGCGGAGGGGAGGAGGAGGCCCTCTAGCAGGTCCACTGGCATTTTGTGGTCCAAGGTAGACTTCAGGACGTCCAGTCCGCCCTCGCTGGAGACATTCGTACCTGAGGGTTGC